CTTCGCTCTGGCCCGATCCAGATGCATGTGCATGTTTATTCTACCTGTATTCTGTATAGTGTGTATAACTCTGTGTGTATTACAGTGCATCTGCATGGGTGCACCTTCCGGTATACTGTGAAAACTGAATTTCCCCCTAGGGGGATAAATAAAGGTACATGGAAGAGTTGGTGTTATGGCTGCCGGATTTTCCCCCCCCGCCGTCACTTTGGCCAGGATGGTCCTAATCTCACCAGAATCACACTGGTGGTAGTTATTCCCCTTTAGTTCAGGCAAACAAAAACTATTTACTCCTGTGAGATATACAAAGAAAACCTCATAGTAGAGTATGTCTAAAAATATCACAAAAAAACGTCATGGTGTAGTATGTTAAAAAAAACCTTCATAATATAGTCAAAACACCCCATTCTTAGGATGTAAAAAATATCTGAAATAATGTGCAAAACTCGTTATTTTCTCACATTTTTTTATTGCATAAAAATGTAAAGTGAGTCATCTAAATGTAATAAATTCTTCACAATCATGCTGCCAAAAATTGCACAATGTATTAAAAAAAGCTTCATGAAAGTTAACATCAGTACATAACTACATTTATTTTGTCATACACTTATAGTATATAGATGTATATCTATATATAGATTTTTTTGTACGTTTTTAAAGAGCTCAGTAAACGTCATGTTCACAACACGAACATCTGGACAAAATGGACATTAACGCAGGTTTCCGTTAACCTTATCAGTGTGGGACACAAATAGATTCAAACCTAACATTTTTTTTATATGCAATGGTACATAATTATAGTAAAGTAGTTGATTATTTTACTATTTTAAAATGAACACTGTACCAAAGGAATATCAAATAAAAATATATTTTTGCATATTGGGATTGGGTGGTTTTTTACACATTTGTTTGAGACTCGATCCAATCCTGATCCAGTGTTGGATTGGTTCAAACAATTAGCAACTGATCAAAGACCATCAATCTAGAGTTAATAAACGTTTGACCTCGACTTAACAATCTTCAAATATTATACCAATGAAACTCATGATCTAGTTTGGAATGTTGTATCCAATCATGTCTTGGTCTCACTTTTGGTTTGTGTGCAAGATGTTGGCCTTTTTGCCCAATTTAATCATCTCAAAAACTTTGTACAATACATTCAATGTTTTGACACAAGTCCAAACCTTTGGACCTGATTCAAGACCTCTAATCTCGAAATAAAACACTAACTCCAGAAATGTATTCAAGATACTTTTTTATATCCAATCCCTCATCTTTCTTGACAAAATCTTGACCAAATTTCATCCGAATATTGTTTAGTTGTAACATTTCATACCCAATCCCAGTCATCTAATCTCAATATATTAAACTCCTTTAAGTCTTTGTACCCTAATTCAAGATCTCAAACGTCAAGATAAAAACTCTAAAAAGATCGGTTTGATCGTGTTTACCCGATCACTAATTTCAACACATTCAACTGATGACCTTAACTCGGTTATCTCCAAATGTGTGTACTTTTTTCTGTCTTTGTAACCGGTTTTGGTTCCTTAGTCCTTTAATCTCAAGAAATTGAACTCCTCAGGGTCATTTCATTGTCTCCAACATTTTGTACTTAGTCAAGTTTTGTCCGAACCTTTGACCCTATATCTGTAGCATCCACACGTTTTGAACTGACTAAGACTGGAGTAAGAACAACAACTCTATAATGACACAGAGTCATGATAACCGTTGAACTATGTTCGTAACATTTAAATAATCCTTAGATTCGATACGTTGTCAGTTGTGATCACATAAAAACTGAGATATTGGGTTTGAAGAAACTAAAATCAACCACAGCTGATCTTCTGGTCTCAATAAAGTATTATTTTTCTTACGGTCCCACACCACAGTCAACTAAAACACTGCTACATTAGACAAAACATTTAGAAAACCCATGAAGTCATCTTTCCAATCACTGATGTACACACATAACATCACAAACTGACGAGGAAGATAGCAAAATTCAAGGTTTTAAATCAACTTGCGTCATAGCAAACACAAATATTTTTACCTTGAAACACACATCAATCATTTTCTCCTTTTACAAAATCTGCTGCTTCCAAAACATGACTTCTTCACCGGGCTGCAGACAGTCTGTCAAAATCTTTTCGTAGAAACTTTATCAAATGTGTATGTTTCATCCTTATATAGCACCATAAAACAAATGAGATGGTTAGACGTTGTTAAAGATTACATAGAAAAAGACAACACTAACCACAACATACAACCAACACACACACACACACACACACACACACACACACACACACACACACACACACACACACACACACACACACACACACACACACACACACACACACACACACACACACACACACACACACACACACACACACACACACACACACACACACACACACACACACACACACACACACTTTGGATAAGTATTCATCATGCCTCTCCCCCCTGAACAACTAGCACCCAAGGAGAGTAGTTGCAAAATACTTAGATAATAATCACAGTCAAATTCTGAGTAACTAAATCAAATATGAGAACATATTATAATAATTTGGAGTTACTTAGTAACAATGATGCAATAGAAAGTCAACATTTTAGTTGCTTTGACAAAACATTGCGAAAATTGAGTTACAAATTATGAAATGAAAAGTCAAAATGTTAGAGTATGATAATACATTTCAGATATTTACTTTAGTAGGAATTGTTGGAAGAAGTCAAAGTTTTAAGTCAAAATAAAACAAAATTACATTTTTACTTAAATGTTCTCTTTACTTGTCATAAGAGTGTCCATAGTTTAAATGACATTTACCTACATTAAATACAATGTAATTTTCAGTGTTCATTTTGGCACCAAATTTGAATGTCTTTTTGTGATACATTTGACATTTAAAGCTCACTACAACATTATGTTAACGTTAGCTCTCTCTTTTAACATTTTTTTTTTTTTTCTTTTTTTAAATATCCAGCATAGGTTGTTCACGGACTGTTATCAACAAAACTAACTTGATAAGAAGAACATTTTGAATTTGGTTAGTTTTTATTTTCAAAGTTACTCCTTATTTAGATTGTCTAGATTTTGTCATTTTTTAGATTGGAACCCAGATGTAATCAATTATTTGCGGTTGTCACTGACAAAAATCTAAATTAGATTAGATTGACTTTTACACTGTAGTTGCTGCCGAGTGTAGCTGTACTATGATGTCTGCGTTAAGACCTATCATTGTTCCAAAAACCCAATAGTAACATATGTTACGTTTCGTAAATTGAGTACTAGTAGTTACTAGTTAGCTAAATATGTTATGACAGTAAAAATATGTCAATGTTGAGTTTTTGTTTCACACAGGACACGAAATTTGAAACCTTGTGTTTGTTTGATCTGCCCATTCAAGAAAATGTACAAATGTAATCCGGGAAGTATATAAATTACGTTTCCCTCCAATCTTAATTGCACAATACAGTTTTCTTTTATGAAAAGCTTCTTTTTAGGAGCCCTATCCGGCCAAATACACGCTAACTAGGGGATAGTCACATTCAAAATGATTCATTATTTAAACTCACTTGCTGTTTTTATAGATTACTGCAATTTTACCAAATCTACAATGGCACTTACATAGACAAGTGTAGACCAAACTGACACTTAACATTACAAAGACAAACACATTTCACAAATATTTTATCCAATAAAGTTTTTAAAGGCATCTTTTGTCTTTATGTTGTCCTTTCACACCAAGGCGTTTTCATCTCAACAAACTGAGCATCTCTAAAAATCATTACTACTTCAATTAAAATATTTGTAAGCATAATTATATTGTTTAGTGTTAAATTGAAGGTATGTCTTTGTTCTTTTTCTTTGTGTAGCTGTATTTAAAATACTTAAAATACTTATTTAGTCGTTTTTTTTAAATTACAATCTTTACTAGAATTTTTAAATAAAAAATACTCTTCTATGTTTTTGAAATAACCTCTGCTATACCATATTATACTTTTTTGTTCCAAGATCCATTTAATCCTTACTTAATAAACTTTTTGTGAGGTATCAATAGTTAGCGAAATAAAACATTCATCATAACTCTTTTAGATGTCGGACAAAGTTGTTATTTATGGAGGGGAGTCTGACTGTGCATTTCCTGTTTCCATCAAAACCCTTCACATTCATACGGTCAAATCAAGTGGCTCCCGGGAACATCCCAGTACAACTTGAAGTCAAATCAAGTGGCTCCTGGGAACATCCCAGTACAACTTGAAGTTGTATTTTTTTTTTAAACAAAACAAGGGAAGAACCAGAGGAAGCTTACTTAGCTTACAGCCGTGTTTCTAACATTCAGTTTTCAAATGAAAGTCGTCTTTTGAAAACATTCTTTTTAAAAATAAAAACGATGTTATTATAATTAATTTAACTATTGACACATGTAAATCAACATTGTTTTTTACATATAACTGCTTAATTATTTCAGATTTTAATTCATTTCATATGCCTTTTATCTTTTTTAAATTATTGAATGAAGTAGCATTTTATACACTTAAAAAGCTGCCAGAATGCTGATTGATATAGCATTTGTTTATATGAAACAATAAGGTCTGACATTTAGTCCCAACTAAACTTATTGCAATCGTTTGGACGTTTAGTTATTGCAGTTACTGTGGCAGAGCCCTGTGGCTGTGATTGAACTGATTCTGAACACACAGAAACAATATACAAATAACTGGAGCTATCGATTATCTGGCCTGCTGAGAATTTGTTACCCTGCACACTTTCAGCAGTGTTCAGCAGCAACACAACTAAACAAGAGTAACTCTTGTTGGCTGGTTTCCTGACAACTTGTTCCAAACCACAGCGCGCACACACACACACACACACACACACACACACACACACACACACACACACACACACACACACACACACACACACACACACACACACACACACACACACACACACACACACACACACACACACACACACACACACACACACACACACACACATACATTTTAAATGACTGCTAATCTCAACATGACATTACACAGCATCCAATATCATTATTACGTCAAGAGTTTTGACCCTTGAACACACAACATAAACACTTAACAAATTCTGGCTTAGTAAAAAATCATCATACAAAAGTTCCGTTATTTTTTCCTCTGTAGATATATAATTTTCTCAGAGGAACCAAAGATGAGTAACACTGTCCTGGACGTAGCTGTGCATCATCAGCTTCATTATCTAAACTTTCTCTGCATTCTTGTTTTCTTTGCCCTGGTTGCTCAGTCAGAAACCTCTTAAGAGCATGTAGTGAACGTTCCAACAGCCATAGGACCATTTTCCTCACATGGTTAAGAAACCAGCAAAATGGCGGCAGACATTTTTGGAAAGGATGATTAAGGGCCCGGTCAGACCAGAAATAATGATATAAGAAATCATTTCAGCTGAAAATCAATTCCTTTCAAAACTACTTCCAACAATTTGCTCATTTAGAAATCCTGATAAAATCACAATCTCTTCATAATTGGCTATTGACATGCTAGTTAGCTGGAGGCATTTTGTTGATGGCTAGTGCTACTGTAGTTCTAAAAAACTATTAAATAGACTTTAAATAGCTAAATACACAATTAAGTCATTGTGCTGAGATGTAATCAAACATTTACATGTTGTCTGGCTAGCGGCTGATAGTAAGTTCTTCACTGGCAGTAAGTCAATAATATGTTAGCTTGGCATGCTATTGTGGCTGGTTAAAATGATTCCAGTAAAAACACTGCAGCTCTAATAAAACATTTTTGCAAGATAAGAATAATAAAATAATGTTAATAAAACAATTTGAGCCAGTAAAACATTTGGCTGGTATGAAACAGTTAGTTGCCTGCTAGCTTAGTGTGCAATTGTAGCTGGCTAACATGTTTTCTGCAAAAATGCTGGAACAAAATTAAAGGAACAAAAGCCAAATGTGATATTTTCTGTTGAGAATGGAGCAGCTTCCTAACTGGCAGTTAGCAGCAAGTTAGCTTGGTGAGCTATTTTGTCTGGTTAACAAAAACACATTCCAAGCTAGCATGTTAACAATTAGCTTACATCCGTAAATAGTAATTTTGCAATCATATACCATTTATATTTAGCTGCTATATTAAATATTCCCTTATTTACAATTAATATATTTTAATTTAATAAACCAAATGTATTTCATTATTCTTCGTACTACTCAGACAAATACACAAGGATTTTAATACTACGTTCAGCAGTCTTTTTTTGTTTTTGAAAAGTTGTCACTAGGTTCTTTATTTTTATGTACTCACAATTGTATCATTGTGATTAAGTAATGCATAATGTATTTCTTTTTATTATTTAAAGTTATAATTTTGAGATACTGTAACTGGCTTATTAAATATCTCACCCTAAACTCACCCTAGAAACAACACCTCACAAGACATTAAGACCTGATTGTCCTAAATGTAGCTCTAAACCCAACTACCTCACCAAGCTTTAACTCAACCTAGAATTTAAGCCACTTTCTTGGCTGACCGGGCAAAAAGAGAAAGACTTGACGTAAAACTGGGAAAAAGTTAAGTAAGTTACTTTTGTTATAAGTTTTGAAACAAAAAGCTTTTTAAAAAAAAATAGTTTTGGCCGAAGCGAAGTGCATTATGTAGCTTATTTAGCCTGTTCAAAGTGTCCAGAATGATCTGATTTAATCACAGTAGATACGTTTGATGAGTATTGAAACTCACGATTTCAGAAAAAACATTAATGGAGAGATGAAGACAGAGAGGGATGAGTTACTGCTTCATGTTGGTGAAGAATCCTGCAGAAGATCCATTGGTTTCGCTTTCAGTCCTTTCAGAATAAAACTCACTTGCTTCCAAGTTCTCTTCTTTAATCTGTGAACCTGCAAAAACAAAAGTAGAGATTTAGAAAATCCCTTGAAACACTTCTGACATTTTATAGGGAAGTTATAGAAGTGTTATTAATATGTTTGGTGATGTCGTTAGTCCTGTTTTTTAATTGTATTTTATTGCTTTCTTTTATTTATTTATTTTTTGTTGAAGTCATTGTTTTATGTTTGATCTTTAATACTAGTTTTTATTAATGAATTACTAAATTGTAATTATTAGCGTTGTTTTTTTGTGTGTTTTTAAGTATATTCTTCCTATGTTTTAATTATCTGTGTTTACATGGAAAAGAAGCATTGCATTGCATGTTTTACAATGACAATGTTGCACAATATGAATGTAATTATTATTATGTTTTTTATGTATTTATTGGTTTATTGTTATATATTCATATTTGAATTTTTTTACATATATTTGCATTTTTTGCAAACAATATGTTAAATGCTCGCTAATATTATATTTAATTTAGCTATTACCATTGGAATGTAACTTGTATTTGTTTATTTAAATGATATTAACTAAATGTTTTGTTTCTAATTAAAATGATTTTCTATTAAGTAAAACTTTTAAAGTTTGTCTTTTATGTCACTTTCTACATGTAGTACTTTTACATAAATGCATAAGTATTAATAATGTAATGATATCATATATAATAGTTGAAAAGTCACAGCATTGGACATTTTTATACTTTTAATAACTTTAAGTTATTATTTAGTGAAATCTTATTTTTTATAAATGTATGGCAAAATGGAGACAAATATCCATTCCAGTGTTTTTTTAATTTTTTATATATTGTATATCAATTCTTAGTGCACCGCCGTTAACAGCAGTGAAGCACAACTTGTGTTAGTACTTTTACCGCAGTATAGTATCTGAATGTTACAACAGTATTTATGTATTTGTGTACCTGCTCCCCCATCAGTGTTGGGGCTGCTCTCCAGGTCAACTGGGGGGGGCGGGGCTGCAGGAGTGGGGGGGTGATGGGTAATTTGGTGGTGTCTCGTTCTCGTCTCCTGATATGCTCCTGGAGATGCCCGTTACTATAGTGCCAGAGAAGCTGACCGGTCGCTTAGCAACAGGCAACTTCCTCTCTGAGGGGAGAAGAAGGTGAGGTCAGTAAAACTGTGAAAAGTAATACATGATGAAGCAAAAAGTATTCATACAACACTAAAATAAGTTATATTATTAAATCAGAAAACAATATTTACACAACTTTTCTTTGAATTCTCCTGCTAATTCACAATAAACAATAACAATAGTTACAAAATATATATATATTCAGGTTCAAATTATATTTTTGAAATATAAACACAGACACATGAATTTTTATAAATTATAAGAGAGGAAGGGGAACGCGTTTATCAAAAAAGATAAACATAAAAATATATTTTTTACCGAATTCTTATAATTTAACGAAAGAAAAAAGAAAAAAAAAGTATCTAACTATGAACATGTTTGCTTCAGTGTGTGTCCTGTGTTTACGTACTTTTCTTCTGTCCCTTATACTGCTGAGACTTCTTCCTCTGTTTGGATGCTGACTGCAGTTCTCTGGAGCCTGAAAACAGAGGCTAATATTATAACTGTTGTACATTTGGGATTTCAGTGATGGCTGCGTAGAATCGTTTCAAACTTGTATGATCCAACTTTTACAAATAACTCAACAACATTGTAACGTACAAAAACTGACATTTTCCTAAATAAAGATTATACTTCAAAACACATATGTTGAAGTTTTTTAATCTAACTTAATATCATTAAATTAAGTTTTTATATATCAATGGCACCTGATCAGATCCAGGAGAAGTCATATGTGGTGTTCCACAGGGATCAATCTTAGGACCACTACTACCAAATCTAATATTATGTAAATATAAGTGCTGGGCATCGATTAACATTTTTAGTCACGATTAATCGCATGATTTTCTTGTTATGCAGACGTATCTGTTGATGTTTTTTCTCAGACAGTATGAGTTACCCGCAGTGACAGCAGGCGGCTGCAGCTGGTATCCGGTCAGCTGACACCACCCCACCGGGTACAGGTCAGATGACTCGCAGTCTACCCACTGATCGTACTCATCCTCCCAGCCATCAAAGTGTATCCGTAGCAACCGGTGGACAATGCGTGTCACCGTGGCGACGCAGACAAGCCGCGGCTCCATGAGGTCCACGGCCTCCAGCTTCATGCCGGGGCAGAATCCGTGGTTAGGGACTTCCTATGAGGGCGGGGCGGAGGACGCACATCAGGAGTTATTTATACAACTACATAAAAGGAAATATTATCAAAAATGTTATTATTATTTTTGTCATTCTTTTTTATTCACATGATTTGTATTATTTGTACTTTTCATGGTAATATTATAATTGTAATCATCATATCATATCATCAATATCATAAATATTTGAAACTCAAAACTGAAATGTTTTTTTTTGCAATAAATGACAATAGCAACAAAACAACAAAACCCCCCAAAAAAAAAAAAAAAAAAGCTCAATAATTAAAAAAATAAAATAAAAAGAGAAGATAAAATCAAATAAAGTCATCTTAAAAAATAAAACAGTGATATATGTTGGATATTTATTATTGTTTTGCCTGAAAAGGTGAATTATAATTATTATAATAATAATTTCACAACCGCAAAATATTCAAGAACTTTTTTTGCTTCCATAATAATTTAAGACATAACCACTAAATCCTTACACTTGAGATACAGGAGCCATTTTGATGTTTGCAGAGGCTCACCTTGTTGAAGAGGTTGACGGGAGCCGCCAAAGACTTGCTCTCCTTCAGATACTCAAACCATCTGAAGGGAAGATTGCTGTAACCTTGAGACACAAAAACGACATTAATCCACAACTCTTATTCTAACAAACGTTAGTCTCTGAAACTGATGTTATTTCTCTTTTAACTTGGGATCTTTAAAGTCTCAGTTTAATTAAAGTAATATTAGGGAAAAAAAACAGACTGCGAAAGTGAGTCCTATTTATTTTGGTATTGGATAAATAATGATTATTTAAAGGTCCCATGTCATGGCCGTTTACATGCAGAAAAACCTACATAACACACAAGGGGACGGGTAATAACCGGAAAAGCATGACATGGGACCTTTAAGATGATGAACTTACCATTAAATAACTAGAATTCTTTTATACAGTGGAGGAAATAAGTATTTGATCCCTTGCAGATTTTGTACGTTTACCCACTTACAAAGAAATGAACAGTCTATAATTTAAATGGTAGGTTTATTTTAACAGTGACAGTAAGAATATCAAAAAGAAAATCCAGAAATTGACATTATATAAAAGATACAAATTGATTTACATTTAACTGTGGGAAATAAGTATTTGATCCCCTTGCAACCAACAAGTATTCTGGCTTCCACAGACCGGTTACATGGGTCCTCTTCCTTTAAAAAAGTACTCCTAATATCAACTTGTTACCTGTATAAAAGACACCTGTCCACAGAATCAGATGCCAAGCATCAGCCTCAAAACCTTCAGGATTTGGAGAGGATCTTCAGAGAAGAGTGGACCACAATCCTTCCTGAGATGTGCACAAACCTGGAGACCAGCTACAAGAAGTGTCTGACCTGTCTGTCCAACAAGGGTTTCTCCACCGAGTACTAAGACATGTTTTGAAAGGGGATCAAATACTTATTTCCCACAGTTTAATGCAAATAAATGTTTATCTTTTATATGATGTCAATTTCGGGATTTTCTTTTTGATATTCTTACTCTCATTAGTAAAATAAACCTACTATTACAATTAAAGACTGTTAATTTCTTTGTAAGTGGGTAAACTTACAAAATCTGCAAGGGATCAAATACTTATTTCCTTCACTATAATAATAATAATAATGGGTTCCATTTATAAAACACTTCATACAGTATTTGATTTCAAATCCCGAAGTGCTACAAGCAGTGTAGCTTGTATGGAGGAATTGTATTGTATGTATTTATGGAGTCATAAACATGACACAATAACCAATAAATACCTCTGGGGGGCGTCAGCTCGATGTTGTTGATCTCACAGAACCCAGCAGGGAAGATGGATGGAGACATGGAGTGATAACAGAACCAGTCCGACCCGTCAGCCGCCTCGGAGCCGTCGATCCCGATCATCAGATACCCGTCTGCCAGCACCTGAGGAGGAGGACAGGTTTACTATCAGGTGATGAATCAGGTGGTTTAATAAAAGGGGATACATCTAGTGGATTTATATCAGGTGATGAATCAGGTTATTTCATATCAGATGATTCATCTAGTGTTTTTTGTATTCATCTTAATATTTTAGGTGATTAATCAGGTGATTTAGTTGTATCTGTTAATCAAGTGGATTAAATCAGATGATTAACTATCAGGGTTTATTCAGGTGATTAATCAGGAGATTTCTCAGGGACATTAGCTTCTCCCGACCTTCCTCACTGTGGCCACGCAGATGGTGGACAGGTTCAGAGGGTCGATGGCTTCTAGTTTCATCGTGTCTTCAAACCAGGAGCCGCTTTGATCCACCTCCTTCACCTGCAAAGATACATTACACACTCATCAAACTCATATTATTATTATTATTATTTTTCCAAGCATTTTGTCTGTTGGACTGTACACGGCACACATTTAGTAGAATGTCAGAACAACTACTAACTGCACACACACAGTGAAATATATCCTAAATCATGGATTAATAAAGTTACCTTAGCAAAGAGCTGTCCAGGAGCGTCCAACTGAACACTTAGCTTCTTCGACACATCTGGAAAAAATAGTTTCATCTTCAGTCTGCCTGCTTAAATTGAACATTTCCTAAATGCAGTCTGGTGACATCTGCACACATCAGTGAGTCTGATCTATGATATTTTTAACACACATTTTTTATTTATATTTTATTGATTTATTATTGAGTTTTTATATTCATTCTGTGTGTGTATTTCCTTATTGTGAAGTTCTTTGTGATGCAGACATGCAGTCCTATTTATATAATTAAATGAGTTGGAACCCACCGGATCGTTTGAATCTGTGTCCGATGGAGCGCGACCAGCCAATGCTGTGGATCAGAGGACTGTACATGTGACACCAGAAGTCGTCAGAGCCGTCGTCACACTCCTCGTACACCAGACGGAGGCGACCTCCGATCACCTGTAGCAACACACACATAATCATCGTCAATCATACTATACAATGACAGACGTCTCCATGTGTGGACCCCGATTATTTACTTTTTACTCAAAAAGTTCAAAATCATTAGAGATATTAGTTCAATGTTTCTAAATGCCAAATAACAACTTTTCAACGACTAAGCCATTCCTTAAAAACTTTTGGCTAGATTTAGGGTTAATTTAGAACAAAATCTCATGTTTGATTAAATCTTGTAAGGTTTTTGCAAACATCTAATTTGTAAAGTAACTAGTAAAATACATTTATACATTTTAAAAGATATTCAAAATGAAGGAGCAAAAGAATCAATAACCCTGCACCACATGATTCACTTTCACTGTGATGCAATTTATTTTGAGAAAACCCAAATCTTCCAAAATACTTGGGATCATAAAAACATTACCCAGATAATTCAAAAAGACAGACAGAAATAAAGGAGACTTAATACCGCAATACATCTTTACAAAAATAATTTTAAGGCGACATATGTCTAAAATATGACCAGGATGGGACTGTAGACGGCTTTAAAGATGATTACGTTTTGAAAACCTATATATAAGTATAATAAGCTTCATCAGTCTTTTATTTTGAAAAGAAACCCAGAGAAAAACCTCAAGAAAATAAAGGAACATTTTGGACAAAAAAACTCGACTTGATCCATAAAGCTTACCCAGATACATTTAAAGATTATCCTTAACATTATGATACTAAAAAAAGACTACTCTGCTACTCTTATAGTATATTATTAAGTAATATTTAGTACCATAAAGTCCTCTTGAGAGCTTTTGCACTTAAGATGAGCAGGCTGTAGCATTCTTACAGTAAAAGCATGCAGAGACTTGCATTGAAGCACCAGCATATTCCCAACAGGCACTGCACTATTAAACAGGAATATGCATTCAAAAGAAAATGTGTTCATTTATTTCATGTGTGAATATTGTGCGAGTCCCACCTGTTCCACCAGAGCCACACGAGTTCGACACAGGTGAGTTTTATCCACCACCTCCACCCTCATCTGCTTCATAAAGGGAACCTGCAGACTCTCCTGCACCTGAGGAGGATTACAAAGCAAGGACATTTTGAAAAGAGCTGCACAGAGGTGTGTTTCTCCATGGTCAATACTTTCATTAACTGTTTATTTTTTATTTTATTTAAAGCTCAAGCTTTAGCTCAAGTTCAATGCATTGTTTAGCCCCTGCTGCTGTAAAAAAGAAGAAGATAATGAATGCCAATTTGGGACGATTAAAATACATCTAATCTTATTTAACGTTATAATATGTTTCTTTGCATCCGATAGGAGCAACAAATCGGACGCCACATTACTGAAGTTAAACCAACATCTATTTAACCTACTTATTGTCAGCATTGTCCTGCAGTGCACTTTTTCTTCAATAAAATAAATAAACATGGAGTTTAAGTGCACTTAAATGGCGACATGGGAAATGGGACACCCAGATAAGCTGGAAAGTATGGGCCCAAACAGTAAAAAGTCCATTAAATATGATTAAAACATCTAGTATTGGAAAGGGTTCAAAATCATACCTAAAACTAATGATTTATAAACTAAACCAATCTAACCCTAACCACTAAATGTTCCAAAATATTTATTTCATCAGTAAACATTGATTTTAAATTGGTAACAAATAAACACAGACACATTACAAGGGGAAATATTCATATATATATATATGTGTGTGTGTGTGTGTGTGTGTGTGTGTGTGTGTGTGTGTGTGTGTGTGACCTTGGAAGGAAAGTCCTGTGGCAGCGTTTTGGACCCCGTAAGTCTTTTGATGAGGAAGGTCTTCCAGTTTGTGATCCTGTGCAGGATAGCTACATACACACATCATCAAAAACATAGTAAATTAATGTTTAGATGTATTTATGTTTCTACTATTTATACAGCTTATAAAGATAAATCATTATGCTAGCTAACTGAGGATATTTACTCATACAAGCATAACATTTCATAACTTCAGATTTGCTGTGTTACTGTATGTAAGTGAAATATAATAAAAAATGTAAAGTTTATCTTTTTTCTTATCAACTTAGATTTGTTAGAAAATGTTTTCAGCTTTAAAGGTCACCTATCATGCAATTTTTAGTCAATAGCATAGGTCTCAGATATATACAAATATATAAAAAACATGTCTATGAAGTGTTTTGCTCAAAATACCAAACAGATCACCCATTCTAGCCATGCCTCATATCCCTCTATTTCACAAAAAAGAGGGGGCGGAGCTTATGCCTGCTCATGCGGGACCCGGCAGATACTGTCTAAAATAAATGCTGCGGTGATGAAACGCCAACACCACATCAAGGATTATTTCTGAAACAGTATGGAGCTCAAAGGCTTTCTCTCTTGCCGGTTTACCACAAGGTGAGTTCCTTTTTTAAATGTCCTGCTTCTTCACACATGCTCACTCCAGTACAGGTTAGCTTTGAGTGTTAGCGATGCTTGCTAATGTAAACAAAGACCATATTACGTCCAAAACACGTCGGGCATTGATTCTGATAGTGACGTTTCTGATAGTGCCGTGGGTCCACCACGTAATTTACATCATATCGGATGGCAAATCTGGATCAGCTCCGTTGTATCCCCGTTTTTAGAGATTTGCGCACGGAGGAAAAGAGAGAGGGTTTTATTTTCTGACGCTGCCTGAGTTCCCTGACACACCGGGGACACATATTTATGTATAAAAAGACATCAAAAAGTGCATTTAGCATGATAGGTCCCCTTTAATTGATGAATTTATTTGAAAAGTGGGCTTAGTCACATGAACACTACTGTAAAATATCTGTTTACATCTATATTTAAGAAGTAAAAGACAAGCATAAGTTTAATTATATTTTTTTAATTTGCTGAGGGCCGATTCAATATGGTCTGCGGGCCGCATTTGGCCCCCGGGCCGTAGTTTGGACACCCCTGATCCAAACCCTGTGAGTAAAACACATTGTCACTAAAGCATGTGTAACTCAGGCTCTTTCTCTGGAGAATTCAGAAATCACTTTTGCAGGAGTTATATCTACTCCACCAGACAGGAAGTTGTTAGTCTTACTCTGAGGGGGCACCAGGGGTTTCCCCCCAGCAGCACACCAGCCCACCGGGTGGATGTCCGGCACACACAGGTTCAGCCAGAAGTCTCGGGTGGAGTCGCCGTCGAAGCCCTCGTACCGCATCAACGCCTTAAAACCTGCACACACACATGTCAGGAGACATTAGAAATGAGAAGAACTGTATATAATTAACTGTTTAGGTGCTAAGCACTATTTTGGATAAGCATACAACAAAACAAGCCAAACACAATAAAATAAAAGATAATTCAAATGTATCTGGGTCATTACATCACCCGGTGACAGAAAAGAAAGTGATAGGGACGAATGAATACAGAAATGCAGACAGACAGACAGTGAGACAACTACAATTAAATTCAGAAAAGCATTTTTATAAAAAGTTGTTTAAAGTCCATCCATCCATCTTCTCCCGCTTATCCGTGGTCGGGTCGCGGAGGTAGCAGTTCCAGCAGAGAGCCCCAAACTTCCCTTTCCCTGGCCACATCAACCAGCTCTGACTGGGGGATCCCAAGGCGCTCCCAGGCCAGCCAAGAGATATAATCGCTCCACCTGGTCCTAGGTCTACCCCTCGGTCTCCTCCCAGCTGGACGTGCCTGGAACACCTCCCTAGGGAGGTGCCCAGGTGGCATCCTTACTAGGTGCCCGAACCACCTCAACTGGCTCTTTTCGACGCGAAGGAGGAGCGGTTCAACTCCGAGTCCCTCCCGGATGACTGAACTTCTCACCTTATCCCTAAGGGAGACGCCAGCCACCCTGCGGAGAAAACCCATCTCGGCCGCTTGTATCCGCGATCTCGTTCTTTCGGTCATGACCCATCCTTCATGACCATAGGTAAGGGTACCCAAATGGCCCGGTAGACAGAGAGCTTTGCCTTCTGGCTCAGCTCTCTTTTCGTCACAACGGTGCGGTAAAGCGACTGCAGTACCGCTCCCGCTGCTCCGATTCTCCGGCCCATCTCACGCTCCATTGTTCCCTCACTCGAGAACAAGACCCCGAGATACTTGAACTCCTTCACTTGGGGTAAGGACTCATTCCCTACTTGGAGTGGACAGTCCATCGGTTTCCTGCTGAGAACCATGGCCTCAGATTTGGAGGTGCTGATCCTCATCCCAGCCGCTTCACACTCGGTTGCGAACCGATCCAGTGAGTGCTGAAGGTCGCAGACCGATGAAGCCATTAGAACCACATCATCTGCAAAAAGCAGTGGTGCAATCTTTAGTCCACCGAACTGCAGACCCCCTCCCCCACGACTACGCCTCGAAATCCTATCTATGTATATTACAAACAGGATTGGTGACAAAGCGCAGCCCTGGCGGAGGCCAACCCTCACCGGAAATGGGCCCGACTTACTGCAGAGGACCCGGACACAGCTCTCGCTTTGGGAGTACAGAGATTGGATGGCCCTGAGAAGAGACCCCCTCACCCCATACTCCTGCAGCACCTCCCACAGTAACTCCCTGGGAACCCAGTCATACGCCTTCTCCAAGTCTAAAAAACACATGTAGACCGGATAAGCGTACTCCCAGGCCCCCTCCAGGATCCTTGCGAGAGTAAAAAGCTGATCCGTCGTTCCACGACCAGGACGGAATCCGCATTGTTCCTCCTCAATCTTGTTTAAAGTCAACATGTACAATTTTTTTTAAACATTGTGTGACTGTGAAGCACTTTAAAATGGATTGTGTGAGTCAAAACTCCAACTTATTGTGCAACTACTAATTTGAAAAAATGAGTAGTGAACTAACGGAATTATTTGGACAATCGATCAAATCAGATTATTTAAATTGAATAGAGACATAAAGAAAGTAAAGAAGGCTTAATACAGTAAAGCATGTTTATAAAAATTCGATTTCAGTCGATATTTAGCATAAACGGTGCTTTTAAGATGCTGAAAGTGAGTAGTAACTCCAAACTAATTATACACCAATTAAGGGAGCTTTATCTTGGCTATATAAAAGCACATATAAAACAAGCCAAAGTGATACAATAACAGAAATAATTGGAACAATTGATCCAAAAAGATAATTCGCATAAAATAAAACTAAGATGGAAAGAATGACAGATGACTTAATAATTAAATGTATGATTATAAAAACATTTAACCGGATGCGACTTTCGAGAGCGCTGGAAGGGTGGCAACATATTCTGCTCCACTATATTAAAGCTCAATCTGTGATGAATTTCACTTTTGAAAAAACAACCATGGAATAAGACAACGTAGACATAGCGGAGAGGCCTAAATGTTAGTAGTGGAATCTTCCTGGCTTGGCCATTCATGGTAAGATAATTGAAAATAGATTACATTTTGGGTATAATATTTAAAACATTGTACCAGCTAGTTTGATGATGCCAGCGATCCAGTAGACCTTCATGGGCAGACCGCTGTCTGTGTTAGTGACCTCCACCCGAACGCCTTCACTGATGTCGCCCCATGACCTCCCCATAGGGACCTAAACAACAACAACAACATCATCATATTGTGACATCCCTAAAAAATGTCCGCAGAGAAAAGAGGTGAGAGCTCCAGAAGGTAAGGTGTGTGTTCATGTGCTGTGTGTGTGTGAGGACCCACGTGTTTAAAGCAGTCGACCGGCGCTCCCGTGGCTTCAGCGTCTTCTAGGTAACGACCCCAGTCGAACACCTCCACAGTTACTGCAGCAAGCACACAAAGAACAGATGGCTTAAATACACCAGAAGAAGAAGAAATATTTTTGAAAGTTTGACAACTTCTAACATCCAACGACAACGTGTCATAAGGATGTGTTCTTCTATATTTAAGTGCCAACAGTTAAAACAGTAACATACATGCTCACTATGATTAAAATGTTGTCCTATACATCTGAGTCATTCATAGTACTTCTCCAAAATGCAGTCAGTTTTAATGGAGTGTACCACCAGGATTTGAAGCCATTCATAGGTTGGTTAGTGAGTTAGTCAGTGTGAGGACTCACTGCTTTTCTTGACGCCGCCATGCTGGTTGGCCTGATGCTGAGCGTACGCAGCTAGTTTTGTCATCAGAGGCTGTTTCTGCAGAACCTTGGCCTTCTTAGTGGGCGGCTTCCCCTTTAAGACAAAGAGACAGAGACACAGAGACAAAGAGACAGAGACAGGTTATGCTAGGTGTTCTCCAATATCTCTCTTTACGCAGATGACATTAGTTAGAAAAGCTGGAAACGTAATAACAGAAATATTTCCAGTAATAGTAATATGAACTCCTGAAACAGCAGCAGGTTAAAGAGTTGCTGTGTTTTTGTACCTGCAGTCTGGCGAGGATGCTGGCCTTCTTGGAGTTGGACGAGTAACTCCTGGAGCAGGAGACGCTGCAGAAACGTTTGGTTTTACTGTAGAAAGCGTCTCTGACACCCACCATGCCACACATCTCACAGGTGGCTGAGAATCAGACATACGAATATAACTTCAGTCACTTTGTTATGACACATACACATAGAACTAATAAAATAACATGTTCCTGGGATGACAAATAATCAGTTAAAGAATGAAGCTCCAAATATTATAAGATTAGAAGACAATGCGATTAAACAAAACCCTACGAAAGTATACCAAGTCTATGCAAAGAAGTGAGAAGAAAACAAGGAAACATTTAAATTCCCGAGAATGATTGGAGGAAATACGGGCAAAGCTTGTCTCTGTTGAGATTCTCCTGACGTTCTGACTTCAGAAGTGTCCGAAAAGGTTTTTCTTGCGTATATGGGATACTATCATCAAAAATAAACACCTGAAATGCACAGTATGTTGCTATCTGTGTGTAAGTATGAATGCCTCATTTAGATGATGGATTAGCTGAAATGTTAGCAGAGACCTGATCAACTAAAAACCAACATTTTTCATTTTGACCAATCACCATTATGCTGGAGTTATTTCTGCATCATTTTGATACGTTTAATGAAATGAAATTCAGCAGAGTGAAATGATCCCACGGTCAAACTCACACGATTACCAAAATACAGTTGGGTGTGTCTATGTTAATCATCTAAATGGTATAGAAATGGATTATTGCTGTGTTTGGCACACTACAACAGTGATCTACTTTGTATTTATGTATGTTTAGTGGCGTATTTTTTACATCTCTTCATATGTATCTATTTGGATTTATGCTAAAGTCTAGATGCCAAACGGCCTTTAAATAACAACTAATACAGATCTAAATAGTCTATTAATAGAGAACCAACATCTCTGATTCTTTGACTTGCTGTCTGTTTATCACAGTTTTGGGACGAGGAGGGGGATGCATCAGACTGACCCATGCCGGCCTTTCCGTCGGGGTATGTGTACACCTGTCCGTTGGTCTTGATGAGAGTCAGGGAGGAGGAGGAGGGGTTGTAGTGAGCCCCCCCTCCTCCCCCCAGCTCCTCCTCGTCACTGTCCTCTGGGCTGGAGGCGCCGCTCCCCCCGCTGGACTCAGTGCTGCAGCTGCTCCGGTCCTCCTCGAAACCGTCCAGCATCCCGAATGAGTCGCGCCGTTTCCTGCAGGGACGCTCCGCCTGGGGAGGAGCAGCTGCCGTCAGACACAAATAGTTTGGAGGCATGTGCTGCTCACAAATGGAACTTATGGCTGTGCATAGGTTGAAAATAATTATCTTCTAGACGACACACTTCCCCCCTGAAGCGCTTCCATTGGACTCCTATGTTCAATTCCTTACCATAGTGACCTCACTATGTAACACTGCCGCTTCTATTGGCTAGCGCTTCAACACATTGTACGTGATTGGACCAATCACAACAGAGCCGGCCAGCTAACCAATCAGATCAGACTGGGCTCTGGTTTCAGACAGAGGGTGAAAAGAGGTGCTGCAGCACAGGCAGTATGAGAAAAATAAAGAGCTTTTTGAACATTAAAGCATGGAGACATGTCCCAGTAGAGGTACTAAATACTAATATGAACCCTATAATATCCATCATAGGGCCGCTTTAAATAAATATTGTGAAATATATGTCATATGTAATCATCTTGAAATGCTATGGTTGATTAGGGGACAGATGTACGTTTAACATGTACAAATATGGTTGGTGTAGATGGTCCATGAGTAACTGAGAAAAATACAAATACAAAACAAAAATAATAATAATAATAAAGTTCCGCAAACAACAATTAAAAACCACTGAGAAATGTGAATTTAGACAATAAAACAAAGAATAAAATTCAAATAAATTAAACACAAAATAATAATTGAGACAAACAGTCTATACAACATGTTTAGACATGAATCTATTAGTAATACAAAACAATTATATTCATAAAAAATATAATTTAATATATAACATTCACAGAGCTATATTTGTTGCATTATTCATACTTTTATGTTTGATTATTTGAGTTTTGCTATGACTAGTAAGGTAATGAAGTTATATTTTCATTGCAGGAGTTTAACTTGTAGTGAAGACATTTATATAGTGTGGTATTAGTACTTATACTGCAATTAAGGATCTGAAGGATTAGTTTATTTGTAGGAAATATTAAAGAAACAATGGGATCAGTGGATAAATTCTTGCCACTGTTTTTTTTAGTATTGTGCAGGATGATGCAGAAATCATCGTCATCGTATAGTACCATAGAAGTAGTAGTACCATTTTGAGAGTTTTGATTTTGATGATTACCGGGATAATATATTGAGTCAGTTCCAATATATTATCCAGGGTAATCATGCCATGACATTTTCATATCGTCCCAAGCCTAGCTGCAGCCAATAATTATTGCCATTATTGATTCATCTGCAGATTAGTGTCAACTAATTATTGCAGTTCTATTGTCAATATACTAATTTAGGGTCTATGAAATATCTGATTTTCCCCCACACACACATAGTTCTGCTGCCAGCACCACTGCAGTGCGGTGCACAGAGAACAGAACAGGCAACTTGACTAGATGAGACACGAAATGACCTCCAAAATTCAGACCATTTCATATTCATTTGATTCTAGAAGAAAGGAATGTATACGTTATAATCAAAAGCCGGGTAGTATACGATTCGGCTAAAGCCCACCTTTTATTCGGCATACACTGAATACACCTAGCACAACAGTGTGTTATGGAAATTGCATCTTATTTTCAATGTATTCACATTGCCTATCACCGCTCTTCACTGTGCTCAGTGTTGAGCGTTATGAGACTGTACTGTGACAACAGCTACGATAACAAAAGGGACATTTAACTGATTTACAAACTGCTTGGTAAAATAAATGCATGCATAATTAAACGGCGTCTTGTCCGTTTTAGTGACCAATTTAAAGTTCTGGTCAGTGAAATGTGTGCCCATTGTCAACCAGAAAGGAGTCCTGATTTCGCTTGATTTTGCAGTGGAGTTCAGTGGATAGAGGTGTTGAGATCAGGCGAAGCAATTACAAAAAGGCTCTGTTTATGAACGAATTAAATAGTACCTGGACGTATTCTGTGTGCCGAATGATTGTCGATATTGAGCTGCTAAATACAAATTTGAATATTATGTTAATGAAGGATATTTTATTGTGAGATAGCACTAGAACTTAAAAGTAGAGGTTTTCTCAAAGGAGTTTGGCCCTGACTCTGAGCGGTCTCTCTGAAGAATCCTTCAACGCCGCTGGTACAGCCACAACAAAGGACTTGAATGCGGGTTCCCGCCGGACAGACAAGCCGGAGAACTCACCAGATCTCTGGGGTTTTCCATCAGGCCGGGCCGCGGGGGGACTCTCACTGAAACCCTAAAACCCAGCAGCAGATATCGCAACAAAATGATGATACCTGCAGTGCGCAGGCGCCGGGACCGCAGCTGCTCATCTCCCATTGGCTGATGCCTCTGCTCGTGTGTTGAGTTCAGATGAGGTGATGTGTCCACCAGTGACCCCTGCTGGACAGGAACAGAAACGTTTTGTCATTGACATAACAATAATAATACTTAAAAAAAACAATTCAAAAATAAATTATTATAATAATAATAATAACAGTAAAAATATATACATATTATACCTTTGTGCCTGTAGCCATCAGGCTGCACAACCAGGGGTTAACAATGTAACAAACAAAAGTACTGTACATAAATCTGCACAGTTTGCGCAATAACTTTGACCTGCACACGTGTGCAAATATATTTAACAATCTGGACTCAAATATGTATATATGTTCATTCAATTCATTTCTTATTTACCTGTGTATAACTTTTTTCTTTTTAATTTAGTCTTTAATTTTATTAGTCTTGTCGGAATCTGTGCTGTCCTGTTTTTCAACCTCACTCTGTTGCTGCTTCTGAATTTCCCCACGGGTATCAATAAAGGTCCATCTGGTCTTATCTTATCTTATAATATATTATCAGCTGTGTCTGGCAGTGGTATTGGTGTTAATATGATTAGTTTCTTAAGTCAAAGTAATCAATTACTATGTATGTAACAAAAAGGAATAAGACAACAATATACAAATATTCTAGAAGAGTACTGAACATATTATCTGCAAGATGTACTGTAGGCCTACTTAAAGTATTGAAAGTAAAGCTGGAGACAGTAGAGAACATTATGGTTTATTGTTTTTGTTCAAAAAATGGTTAATAATAATACATGTTGTATTTGTAGCAACTTTTAAAACCCACTTTACAAAGTGCTTCACAAAATATAAAATAATTCAATAAAATGACACTTAAATAAATCATTCATCATACTTTTTACTGTATAGATTGTTTGTTTGTAAAGTGAAACATGGACAGCTTAAGAAGCAGTTTTTCCTTTTAATGTACTCAGGTAAATGGCTAAAGCTAGTACTTTGATAAAAACAACATAAGAAGGAGTAAACTAAAATAGGGATATGTAATAAAAAATGGTTTAAAATATAATGAATTGTTAAAGAATTGATGCAGTAAAATTCAATTTAAGTGCGTTTTGCAAAAACGATTTAAAAGAGGATAAATATGTGGCTTGTGTTACATTCTTAATAGATTAACTAATAATTAAAGCTTTCAGGAAAATGATATTGAGTCAAAGTTTAATATTTACTCTGAGATGTAGTACAAAATGTCAAACATTTAAAAACTCAGGTAAAGTACCACAACGTTGTACAGTAATTGAATAACTGTACCAAGGCATTACAATTACAATTTTTTTAATTTAATCTGTCATGTTTTGGAAAATGTTACAACCCTTATTAACACAGCTTTTTACTCAATTTAAAAATGATAGACCAATATATTTCCATTATTCAGGGTTTTATGGTTTAGTGGGGCAGCTGCTTCTGAAGTGTGAAACTTTGATTTATAAACACATTATGAACATATTCATATTTTAAATATTTTAAAATGATAATTTTTTGTTAGAAGTGTTGCTTTGTTGAATAGAAAAATATTCCATGTTTAAAAGAGGAACTTCCCATTTATTTTACATAACGACATTCCAAATATAAAATGATAACATTGACACAATCTGTGTTTCTCTGTCTTTAATATAACACAAAAAAACACATAATTGCTATTCAGCATAAAATAATATTCCCTAATAGATTTGTGTGCATTAACTGAGCACAATGTTAGTGTTACAATTCCAAAATAAGACTGAGGTTTATAAATGCAGAGTTAAACACTAAATTTGAATTTGTTTTGCCAATTGAATTTTGCATGGACTCAAAACAATTGCTGTGCTTTCCTTGTGTGATTTTTTTATTTATATTCTGATGCATGAATTAAAAATCCTTTCCACACCTTCCCGCAACCAGATGTGCATATGAAATACAGTATATGTTCTGACAGGTGTCCTTTGGCCCACAGGTTACAGAACACAGTGAGCCAGAACATCTGCAGGGCAAGTGAAAACCTGAATGTCGTTTTCTCACAAGCTTCACGCTTCAATATGCTAATAAGGGGAAGGGCTGCATTGCTGGAACCTGTTCTAAATGTCATGATTTAAAGGTTAGGATGATTAAACCTGAGCTCCATCAAGACCTGATATACCTGTGAAAGAAACACTTCACACGCAAAGACTGGAGTTTAGACAACTGCTGAAAGAAGAGATTTAGAGGTGCAGCATTAGAACGAGGCAGAAACTAACCTTTACACCTGTATTTGTGCAGAGGAAGACACTTTAAAGGAGCAGGGAGGAAAGATGAGTTGACATGTGATATCCAGAAGTGAACACAAGTGAGTGGTGAGATGACACAGGTTCTCCGTGCAGGCAGAGCATCCCATGCAGGGGTGGGATTACCGTGTTCATCATGGACCTGGAGTCTTGGTGCATTACAGCACGGCTCCTGCAGCCGGGGCTCCGGACAGCAGCCGGAGCTTCTGTTTGTCCAGAGAGAAGCTCAGCATGCAGCAGCTCAACAGGAGGCTGGCCTCGTACCTGCAGCAGGTAGGAGATGCATGAGATGAACATAAAACAACATTTCTCCTAAGATGGTTCAGCAGCAGCAGCAGCAGCAGCACAGAAACACCAACATTTAACTGCAGCTATGGAGCTTTGTACTGATCTAAGTTTTATGATTATTTCTACATATATTTATATGCATCAACTTTTTATTCTTTGATGCTCCAGGTGGAAATATTCCAAAACCTTCCCACTCTTCTCTCCGATGTATCTCGCAGCAGCACTAAAGCCACTATAAGCATTAGGATTTATAAGTGTTATTTTAATTATTGTTTTAAAGGGGAAGAATAAAATAAAAGTAGCAATTTCTCAACAGACTTCTTCTTTGACTGAGCACCAAATGTTGGAGCTTGGCTCACAGCAACACAGGTTATGCCCTATTTATTCGAATGTTTAAGTTTTAGAAATTATGGGGGATTCATAATATTTCTCCACCATATTTTTTCCTTTTGAATTTAAGCTCGAAGTTTCCTGTGAAGAACTATGTAATAGGTTATTAGCTGAAGTACACATATGTAAATTACATTTAAAAAATCGTTCCATTCTGCAACTTCATTTTTGTGCTTCATTGGATTCCACAGGGCTGTGACATTTGTATGTAGAGTAATGAATAACAACTTTTAAATTTAGATTTTTTTAAATATTACATAACATTACTTTTCACCCCCGATTGGTGGATGCAGGTCCAGAGTCTGGAGGTGGCCAATCAGAGGCTGGAGTGTCACATCCAGGAGGAGCTGGACAGGAAGTGTCCCCAAGAGCTGAGACAGCTGGACGGACACCTGAAGGCGGTGTCCCTGCTGCAGGGACAGGTGACACAGAGAAACACTAACGATCCAATGAAATAACAATTACAGCAATCTGATCTAATCCATTCACTACCATAAGAAACCCGAAACCACGAAATACAAAATAAATAATAATAATGATAATAATAATAATAATAATAATAATGATAATAATAATAATAATAATAATAATGATGATAATAATAATAATAATAATAATAATAATAATAATAATAATAATAATAATAATAATAATAATAATAATAATGTTGGTTTACTGTAAAAAAGTAAAGAAAATATGGTAAAATATATTAAAAATAATAATATGGAATAAAATGAAATAACAAGACAACAAGCAGATGAAGGCCAAATAAAGACAAGTTAAGGCTAAATATAGGCCAGATATAAATATAATATTGATCAGATAAAAAAATGCAAATATCGACCAAATAAAAGCAACATAAATTAAAAGGCTAAATAAAGTACATAAAACGATGAGAGAATGACCAGATAAAAGCCAAATATAGACTGATTACAGGCAAGGTAAAGGTCAAATAAAAACCAGATAAAGGCCAGATAAAGGCCAAAAAAAGACAAAGTAAAAAAAGAAATGAAAACCAGATAAAGACTAAAGAAAGATCAAATAAGGACCTAATATAGTCCATTCAAAAGCCACTCAAAATAAATTGAGCCAAATTACAATCAGCAAATGCCAAGTAAAAATCTGTTTAAATGAAGTGAATACCAAAGTCAGGCCTGATGCAGCTTGCAGGGGAATGGAGGTTTAGCATCTTCCTCCGGCACTGACTCTTCAGGAAGTTTTGCTTCTGCTTAAAGGTTAGACAGGATGAGACGAGTCTGACTCTAAATGTCACGATTCAAATGTCAGAGATTAAACTTGAACTTCAACATGATCTGATCATTTGTCAAACAACAACCTGAAGAGGTGGGGTAAGTGTTAGAAGTGCTTCATTGGATAGTGCCCTCCAAGCCTGAGGCAGTATTCATAATTGATATATTCTAGTAACTTTCCCATCATAAATACAAGTCGCCTTTAAAGTCCCAATTAAATCTAGTATGTCCCCAAGTCAATACCAACATGTCAGAAAGTCATGTCCAAAATCAGGAACAATTCCCCAAATCAGGTCCCAAGCAACACATACATGTAAACATCGCAAATGAAGACCAACAAATGAAGACAGCGAGTTCCTAATAAGTCCCAAATCATGAAAAGCAAGTTTCAAGTCAAAAAAGAAAGTCTCAAATTATTATTATAACTAGTATTTATGTCCAACAAATCTAAAAACACTTGAGTTGAGAGCAATAAGTCAGAAAGTCCAGACAGCAAGTCCCAAATAAACACAGTCCAAAATGATTTCCCATGTCATGACAAACACATTCTAAATGGACCTTTTCAGGCCCCAAATCAGTAATAAACCAAAATCAGGTCCCAAGCTAAAAAACGTTGCAACTTAAGACCAAAATGTCCTAAGTCAAGATAGTGAGTTCCAAAATAGATCCAAATCATGACAAAAAAGTCAAGACATCCAAGTAGACCATCTCCAATAAGTCCCAAGTCAAAGCAAACCCTGCTTTTTCTTTATTTGACTAAGAATAGGAGCATCATTTCTAATAACAGTTCCGAATTCCAAAGTCATGAAAAACAACTTCTAAAATGACCTGTGAGTTCTTAAGCTGCCTTCACATGATGCGCAATTTGCTCTTTGCTTACTGCTAGGTTGGGCGCAGAGCCTTGCAGTGAAAACAACTCTTTAACCTCTTAAGCCCTGAGCCTGTTTTTCAGGTCTCAGGCTCGAAAATGACATTCCCAGAACAAAATATCTTCCCTTCTAAAAGGGTTAAATTAATAATCTTTATTCTCAAAGTAATGATAAACTTGTGAGTTGGATGTAGAAAAGTCAGAATCAATATAGATGTTTTTTATTTTAAAGAAAATTCAGATTTTACATAGTAAAAAACTGTAAATGATAGTGTCCGTCCAAAAATTATTTTTTACTTATAGTGAAAACTACCCTTGGATGATGGGTTAGTAGACTAAAAGCTTTAGGAATCCAAAGTACAACATATAATAAGTACCCTGTATCAAGATTGATGCAAAACAAGTGACATTTGACCTTTTTAGAGAGATTTAGCCAAAAAAAAAAACACTTCTGGGGTCATTTGGGTGGATTTTCCATATCTCTGGCCCCCCTTGCTCGATTTTGATGAATGAAAGCTCTTTATAACCGCTAGAGCCAATGGAATCGAGGGAAAGTTATATACACACCAACACGTTAACAAATAAGGAGTGAGAGTGACGCGTTACCAAAACCGGAAGCTGCATACACTCTGGTGGCTACCATTAGCAGCTAACTTTTCCGCTCCGATTTTTACATAAAAAATGGAATTATGGATTATAAATAATTTCTTCAAAGGCACAGGTACATTATCAACCTATGGATCAACAGTTGTAGCATTTTTCTTTTTCGTTTTAATGCCATTGAACACGTCTTTTGACCTAATTGACAGCTACGATGAGACGATCTGCCGTAAATGCTCCGTAAAGGTACGTGTTGTGATGTCTGTGTTTGCTTCCCCTGTCGCAAGTTCGGATCGCTCAGTGATGATACTATACCTAAATAATCAGTGGAGTCTCAGCTTTAATCGGCTATATTGTATGTGCAGCTACGATAAATAATAAGGGTATCTTCATCTTGAATTGTGTGCCGCAGTGCGTTAGAATATTTTCGCTCAGGGGTCATTTAGACTCTTCTTATGAGACTTGTGTTTTGTTTTGGTAAAAATGGTTCATATCTTCAGTTAGCTGAGATTCTTCCCGTTAATCTGGTGCTACACATTAATAGTTTTATAAATGTTAAGAAGCCCTGAGACATTATCTCGAAAAAAAAACGGTGGGAGGGGTCCAATGGGGGGACCGCCGTGCTTAAGAGGTTAAAGGTCACCTATTATACAAAATCCACATTTTCATGTCTGTCATAAATGATTAAGTGTCCCCTCTGTGTCAAGACATTTGAAAGGTTTCAGGAAAAAGATTCTCTCTTCCATAAAAACCTGTCTGAAAATTAGCTGATCAGATTTTGGCCACTTTGTGATGTCACAATGTTTTTTTTGCTTGTGTAACCATTAGCCAATAACCAACCAAGGTACCCCCCCCCCCCCCCCACACACACACACACACACACACACCTTATCACCTGAATATCCTCCTAGAGCAACAATGTGTTTTTCCCAAACGATTGTTATTACACACATTTACAGACAATATTCTTGCAGGTTGCATGATGTTCTTAATTGTGTTTCTTTATGGTTGATTGCAGTTAGCAAGATAGTAGTAGTATAGCGCGTTGCTTAGGATAAAAGCCTCAGCTAAATGAAATTTAATGTAACGTTTTATGTGAAATAAAAATATATAGTTGATTACTCTCGCTCTCGCTCTCTCTCTCTCTCTCTCTCTCTCTCTCTCTCTCTCTCTCTCTCTCTCTCTCTCTCTCTCTCTCTCTCTCTCTCTCTCTCTCTCTCTCTCTCTCAGATCAGTGATTGTCTCTCGGCCCAGGCTGAGGTGAAGCTGCAGCTGCTCGGTGCAGAGCTCACCGTCTTCGACTTCAGCTCCAGGTACATCCCATTTACACTAAAGGTGCAATGATTAGTCAATAAATCAATAAAGTTATTTTTCATTCTTTAAAGGCAGTTCTCAGCTTTTTCAATATGGTGATTTGCTGCTTTTCTCTTACTTATATCATATATAAGGTAAATCTTGGACTTTTCTTTTACTTTTTCTGACATTTTACTTACGCCAATAATCTAGAGAATAATAAGAGCGTGCTGTAGATCAACCCAGTCTCACGGCATTTCGTGTTATAGTCACAACATTTAATCTATTGATTCGTGTTCACCATCACGATTTCCCCCTTTTTTTCGTGTCACACAGAACGATTTTAAAAGCAATGTATTTCTATTGGTAGTATGTTTCGTGCCTGCAACACGTCTTTTTGTCCGGTCGGGTCTTGGAAGACCGGAAGCTGTGTGGTTCATAAAAACATCTTCTTACTCAATATCAAGCCACGATTATTGTTTTTATTTTAAATTGTATAATGTCAGACTTTTTTTGCCGTCCGGAAAATAAATGGGGCTCAGAGCCTCAGAATACTGAAATCTGTATTTTTTAAATCTTTTTTTCCTTCTAATTTGTTATTCTTTTCTAAATAACACACTGTTATTTACTCAACAATAACACACTGTTATTTACTCAACAATAACACACAATTATCCTTGTTTTTATTTATTTGTTTAATTCTATAATCTTGGGCTTTTTTGGCATCCGTCAGGAACTGAATTTCAAAATAAAGTAACAGGAAACAGACGTAGGCCTATAAGGGACATTTCGAGCATCATTGCGATACACACCATGGGTGTTTCTCAATCGTGAGTACGCTTGCTTGGTAGCACATGTCTGCCGAGCATCTTGCTTCAGAAGCGAGTCAAGAATACTTCCTGGCATTCGGAAAACGAAGTGTGGAACACGCTAGCAAGTGTGCAGGTGTGCGTCATATGAGAGGCCCCGCCTTACATCTTCCGCCACAGATTTGGGGAAATTGGTCCGTGCGCAAAGCATTGTGGGGATTTTAAGACCGCGAAGTCTACTCATGTGCACACTCGATATTTCTCCAAACGGAGTACGCCGGGCTCGGTAGATTTCCAAGTACGCTGGAGATTGGAACAATACTTCGGCGGCACTCGATGACGTAGTATGCTTGAAATAGTGGCTCTAAAGCAGCTTTACTCGCGATTGAGAAACACCCCATGATACACACCCACTGAACTGATTACCCAAGATCCTCAGCTATGGTTTAAGCTCGGTGATTGGATGTTTTAGACAAAATGCACGTTGGGATCTGGTGTTAATGCGATACAGACAGAAAGGTATATCAGTCATTTAATGGTAAGCTATTGAAATTCTGAATCCATAGATGTGTCTCCCATCACCCAAATCCCCTGACTATTCTCTCAACTCAGTATTTACATTCTTATATTCAAAGAAAATCAGTAATATCTTTAAAAACTACAAGTCCTTTTATATCAGCTGTGCACCGTTATGGGGTAAATATAACCTATCTACCAATTGGATCAAATATAAAAGTCAGCCGAATTAGTATTGATACTGCAAGGAGACGTATTGTGTGAAGAGAAATTGAAGATGTTGTTTAATTGCTGATATATTTATGATCCACGTCACGTATTCAGTTTCCGTGGCAGTTCTTCCAGTTTGTCCAGAAGTCTTCTCATCAGGGCTCTATAAATAGAGAACTATGGCAGATGTGTAATATTTAATGCAGCCGAACTGTGTATTACAATGCCGTTATGTGATGACTTCCAACAAGAAAAGCAAGAACACTCGGATTAAAGTATTATTTTCTTTTTAAAAAAAATGTTTTTTAACACTATATCCCAACGTGCATTGCGGCTAAACAATCCAATCACCGAGCTTAAACCATAGCTGAGGATCTTGGGTAATCAGTTCACTGGGTGTGTATCTGTTTCCAGTTATTTTATTTTGAAATTCAGTTCCTGACGGACGCCAAAAAAGCCAGAGATTATAGAATTAAACAAATAAATAAAAACAAGGATAATTGTGTGTTATTGTTGAGTAAATAACAGTGTGTTATTTAGAAAAGAATAACAAATTAGAAGGAAAAAAAGATTTAAAAAATACAGATTTCAGTATTCTGAGGCTCTGAGCCCCATTTCTTTTCCTCACAGACGGCAAAAAAAGTCAGACATTATACGATTTAAAATTAAAAACAATAATCGTGGCTTGATATTGAGTAAGAACATGTTTTTATGAACCACACAGCTTCCGGTCTTCCAAGACCTGACAGGACAAAAAGACGTGTTGCAGGCACGAAACATACTACCAATACATTGCTTTTAAAATCGTTCTGTGTGACACGAAAAAAAGGGGAAAATCGTGTTGGTGAACACGAATCAATAGATTAAATGTTGTGACTATAACACGAAATGCCGTGAGACCGGGTTGTGTAGATCAGTGGTTCTCAAATGGGGGTACGCGGACCCCTAGGGGTACGTTGGAGTACTGCAGGGGGTACGTGAGATTTATTTTATGTTAATGAAAAAAAAATGAAAAAAAATATATACCAATTTTAGGAAAAGTAACGAAGTTTGAGCAGTGTGGGTTTTATATTAACAGAGTTACACATATTTCAAAACACGAAGTGTAATCACTGCAGTTGCCTCCCGGTCAGAATGACAAAGATCCTCAGAGAAGCACAAGCCCATGTTTCTCACTAAATTGTAAGTACAACTTATTAAAAAGATCAGTTCAATGCAACTAATGTCGTCTTAGTGTTATTGCATGATGTTAAAATTGGTTGGCTATGAATTTAGTGATGGATTGTAAACATTTGAAATGTAGCATTTAAGTGTTTCTCAGTTACAATGTTGTTGTTTTAATAAATCAGACACTGATGGTGCAGCGCTGTACTGTACCTCTTTATATAAGCTTTTTTTCCCTAACAAATAGTTTTTGCGCTGATCAGGGGGTACTTGGCTGAATCTTTTTTCAAAGGGGATACATTATTGAAAAAAGTTTGAGAATCACTGGTGTAGATCACGGGTTCCACAGGTAATTGAGTTTAAAGAGTGTAAATACTTATCTCAGCATAACATTTTTCATTTGTAAGAAGAAAAATAAAATAGTATTCATTCATATCTCGGAAACACAGCATTGATAATATAATTATTAACATCCATTCATATATTAATGTTTATATTATTGTATACTGTAATAAACACATTTAAAAATATGTATTGTTGTTATATTAGTACAATGTGCTTATTGTTTTTCTTCATATAAATATTTCATCCTTTGATCACAAAACACAATTTCAATCCAGGATAAATACAGTTTTCTTGATTCTGATTGATCCAAAATGAAAGTGATTCAGGTTTCAACAGTAATCCACATACCTTCAACACATGCTCATGAAGAGATTTCCCCTCATGCCCTGCTGTGTGAACAGGTGTGACAAGGAGAGTAAGCGTTGTGGTAGTGTGGAGGCGGAGCTCAGTGACATGAGGCTGCTGCAGGAGGGGCTGCTGCTGCACACTCTGCCAGAGCTCCACAAACTGTGGAGAGACCTCACACAGCGACTGACGGAGCTGCAGAGACAACACCAGCAGGTAACAACACCATGCATTACACCAGCAGGTAACAAAACCATGCATTACACCAGCAGGTAACAACACCATGCATTACACCAGCAGGTAACAACACCATGCATTACACCAGCAGGTAACAAAACCATGCATTACACCAGCAGGTAACAACACCATGCATTACACCAGCAGGTAACAACACCATGCATTACACCAGCAGGTAACAAAACCATGCATTACACCAGCAGGTAACAACACCATGCATTACACCAGCAGGTAACAACACCATGCATTACACCAGCAGGTAACAAAACCATGCATTACACCAGCAGGTAACAAAACCATGCATTACAACCAGCAGGTAACAACACCATGCATTACACCAGCAGGTAACAAAACCATGCATTACACCAGCAGGTAACAACACCATGCATTACACCAGCAGGTAACAACACCATGCATTACACCAGCAGGTAACAACACCATGCATTACACCAGCAGGTAACAACACCATGCATTACACCAGCAGGTAACAACACCATGCATTACACCAGCAGGTAACAAAACCATGCATTACACCAGCAGGTAACAACACCATGCATTACACCAGCAGGTAACAACACCATGCATTACACCAGCAGGTAACAACACCATGCATTACACCAGCAGGTAATAACACCATGCATTACACCGGTAACAACACCATGCATTACACCGGTAACAACACCATGCATTACATTAGCAGGTAACAACACCATGCATTACACCAGCAGGTAACAACACCATGCATTACACCAGCAGGTAACAAAACCATGCATTACACCAGCAGGTAACAACACCATGCATTACACCAGCAGGTAACAACACCATGCATTACACCAGCAGGTAACAACACCATGCATTACACCGCTAACAACACCATGCATTACACCAGCAGGTAACAACACCATGCATTACATTAGCAGGTAACAACACCATGCATTACACCAGCAGGTAACAAAACCATGCATTACACCGCTAACAACACCATGCATTACACCAGCAGCTAACAACACCATGCATTACACCAGCAGGTAACAACACCATGCATTACACCAGCAGGTAACAACACCATGCATTACACCAGCAGGTAACAACACCATGCATTACACCAGCAGGTAACAAAACCATGCATTACACCAGCAGGTAACAACACCATGCATTACACCAGCAGGTAACAACACCATGCATTACACCAGCAGGTAACAACACCATGAATTATATCAGCAGGTAACAACACCATGAATTATATCAGCAGGTAGCACAATTAAAATCAAAAAAGCACTTTCTATGATGCCCATGTCTAACCAGAATAAGAAGAGAATGTCTATAATGCATTATAAACATACTTTTAATGGATTACAATTGGACAATAGATCTGTTTAAGCATTCATAAACATTCCTAATGTTTTGGAACCATTATAACACATGATAAAGCATTTCATTATGAGGTCAGAAATGTAAAACTTAATGACTGCTACCTATTCACTGACTTTTTTAGCAATAATTATATATATTTTACTTAAATAAATGCCAAATAAAAATGACTGTTAAAGACTTATCATCATATAATGATACTTATTATATAATGATTAAAAGAACATGATGAGTTATAAAATGAAAAATATGCGTTATAAAAGACAATAATGCATAGTAGAAACCGTCTTGTACATTTTGACAGGATTGCATTATTAAATTATTTAAATGCATAATTATGAGATAGTGAAGCATTACAAAGAGATAGTAGTCAACCTTAAAAGATAATAATATAACGCATCATATTTAGATTGTTATTATATTTTAAAAGATTACAATGGAAATTGAAAAGGAAATAATGCATTATAAAAAGAAAGTGATGCATAACATGAAGATAGTGATGCATTGTAACATATTGAAATGCAATATAATAATACTATAATGCATTATTTATTTACGAGTGCCTATATTCATACAAAGCTTTAATCAGAATACAACATAACAAAGTTTGTTTATAATATATCAGAAACAGGTATGTCATAGATTATTCACATGAAAGTTTACGCCCTGTTTCCTGTCTACCTGTCCAGGACACGCGGGGTCTCCTCGCCCAGGCGTCAGGGGGTGTAGCTGTGGAGATGCAGACGGCGGGGTCATCAGATCTGATCCAGCAGCTGGAGCACCTGAGGAGGGCCGGTGAGACGCTGCTCCACCAGAAGCATTGCTACAACACCCAGGTACACCAACATCTGTAGCACCGGCCCAACCAGCCTAAATCCAAAGAAGAAAAGTTTGCATAATCATTTTATCATGAATTAATATACAATTTTTTAAATAGGTTAAATTGTTGCTTTATAAAATGTCAGAAAATTATTATACATTCTCTATTTTGCAAAAGCTGAAAACTACAAGACCTGGGGCCTCATTTATAAAGGGATATACGCTCAAAAAATGGCGCATGCCAGTTTCTACGCAATGTTTGCGATTTATAAAATACTAACTTGACGGGAAAATGTGCGGTCCTCCACGCAAACTCTAACCCATGCGTACGCACTAAGCACACAAACTGGAGAGACGAGAAACTGCGACACCGTTGGCAGAAGGAAGAATGGAGAGAAATATGTGGAAATAATACCATAAATAAAATGTTACCTCTCATTTATCAAATATGAAGAATTCATTTTCAAACATTGATTAAAGCCAATCTTAAAATGATTAAACAAACGCCTGTTTGAGACTCCTCAGTGCACACAAAAACATAACTTGGATAAATAAATAAATAGGGATATGTTATTTAAAACCACCTCGAATATGTTGTGTTAATGTTATGAAATGTATTCTCATAAATGATGCGGTAAACAGGAGGACAGAATTACGTCTAAACTGACGCCGTTTTGCATTTCTATAGGTTGTAGATACGAGCATGGTTTTATATACTATCATGTTTAATCGTGTTTTATGCCGTTTGCCAAGACTTGATAAGTCGCTCGTAAAACACAGGAGGTATGGAAACTAAGAACACCATATGTGGTAAATTGTACAGCTAATATAACACAACACATTAGTTGTATTTCCTTTAACTGGTGGATTATGGACATGGGCGGCGCCAGGATTTTTTTGCTGCAGTAGTTTAGCAGTTGCGATATGACAGCACGGCGTTGCTAGTTAATTTTCAAAATAAATAAACAAACAATACCAGTGGGCCAAGCACGAGCCTGTTCATATTGTAGCGTTCATCGCTATTCAAGATCACAGATCACGAGCCTTCAATGTCGAAAACGTTCTCTTTATTTTATGGTATTGACGGCCACAGCCACGCCTTACAGAGCCAATCAATAGTATAACACTCATTATGACTTTCCCCCACACTCGAACACAACTCCTACCGTCTCGTACTCCCTACACACACACCGGAAAACGCACACACACACCTGGAAGGGGCGGTCTCTCCCTAACTCCCACCAACAACATTGCCTAAATAACTTTACAAATGTACTAAACTGTGCACATCTGATAACTGAAATAACTATTAACTTGGACACGCTACAATATTATCATTAATATTTACATTAAAACATTCCTTTGACACTTATAACATTACTTTGCAAGGTAAGCACAACCAAAATAAGTTTGTAAAAGCAGAATTTGAACACTGTTTCTGTGCTCCTACAATATTTGTGTATAATACCATTACACCCTAAGCGTACACAATAGCGATCGTTCACTGTTTCAACTGGCATGCTGTGGCATTTAACCTCATCACCACACCGCACACACACCCACACACACACAACACACACACACACACAACACACACACACACACACACACACACACACACACACACACACACACACACACACACACACACACACACACACACACACACACACACACACACACACACACAGGGTTGTACCCATGTTCAAAACATGGGTTGTAACACATTAGTTACATATGTTATCATCACCCTGGGTGTCTGAGACAAGTGAACCGACACTTAAAACACACATTTCCTGCCTTCTGCTTGCTTAGATGCTTAAAATAAATGTTGTCAATTTAATGCACTTTTTTGTTAATGATATGTACATTATGGCTCCATCTGGTGGAACATTTGTGAATTACACTAAAAACCAAAACCTTAATGTATTTTATCTTAGCGAAATAATGGTTTAAGGACCCCAACATAATGATCATTTATGATCCTGCAGACGTTGTCTACGCGTGTATCACAACGGCCTATTTTTAGTGTGAAGTAGAAAACTCGGTTAGTAAGGTTTTTTTTTGTCAATATGAGATGCACTGTTTGTATGTCCCATGTACATGGCTGTACATATGGCTACACGCACTACTAAGTAAGGGTTAGCAGGTTTTTAATGTTAGGTTTGTTGTGTTCAGGTATCTTTGCTGAGCTCTCCAGCGGTGACCTTTGACCCTCGAGCAGGGTCAGAGGTCTTCCAGGCCGAGGTTGAGGAGCTGTGGAGAACAGCAGGAGGTCTGGAGGAGGAGCTCACACAGCTGCAGGATCTGGTTAGAGACACTTGAAGTTAAAACATTGGTATTGACTGTGTAAACATTTAGTTGATGAGAGACTGACTGTGATTAGGATATAGTCATTAGAATGTATGTGTTATGTTAGATATGTGGTTGTCAACAGGACAAAGCCACAAACATGTGATCTTATAAACGTTGCATTGCTGCAGACTAAACTGGCTTACAGTATATAAAGAAGTTTAAAACATCAACAGCATTAAAATGCAACATATTGCAGCAGTAATATTAGTCCAGGAACTTCATATATAATATTAAAACACTGATGGGGAACATGTTACTTCCTAAAAATCTTGTGGAGTAAAAGTATAAAGTAGCCTACCCCAAAACTGCACTTAGACACAGTACTTGAATAAATGTACTTCACTACATTCCACCACTGACCGTATGTGTCTGCCTGTGTAGAACATGGTGTTGGAGGCCTCCAGTCTGCAGCAGACAGAGTCCTTCGTCCTGCAGCTGGTGGACTTACAGCAGAAAGCAGACGTCCTGTGCAGAGACCTGGATTCAGAGCTGCAGTTTGCAGCTCAGCAGGCTGAAGAGCATCAGGCGTTGCTGGAGGTAAACAGCAGGCTGGAGACCCAGATAGAGGACTACAGGAGGCTGCTGGATGCATCAAGCATACAAGGGTAGGACATAAAGACAATTATATAATGTTTGAAACTTATTTTGCAAATCATGTTGTTTTGTAAGTAATTTTTTGAATGTTATGTCTTTATATCTCCTGTTCAAAGGCTCTCAGGTCCTCAGTCAATCTTCGCGGCTAACGTCACATCTTTCTGTGCTGAAACCAGCCCTCCTGCCTACAAAAGAAACATCACACCAATAAATACATTTAGCATTCGGGGAGGAAATCTCAGGATGATGGGGGTTCAAACTGTCTTTAGAGGCCACACACACAATGTCATACAACAGCAATCGAAAAACTCACCAATAAGATCGATTAACACTTCAAATCTGATAGGATCATTCCACAAGGCTGAATACCAGGGCACAGGCGCTCTTCCTAAAAGAACCAAGAGCGAATGCATGACCGTCAGCACAACAGTGGACAGAAAGGGCAGTCCTGTGGAGCATAAAGTCCATACTAAACATTGTGAGCTGCAGAACTCATCCATTGTCAGTACTGAGATTAGCCAAGTTTTAGAAGAAGGGGCTGGTGGCAAAGCTTCTAAACCGAAGATAAGTACTGCACAAAAACACACAACATTGGCAAAACCAGAAGATATTACTTCTAAACAAATAACCACAGGAACTGGTTTGCAGGCTGATCAAACAACGACCCACGTTGAAACAGAGGTCCCCAAAAACATTTCTTGTGTAGAACCAGAAGTAAAGCAAGAACAGCATTTGGCATCAACTGATCCCAGTAAAGGAACTGATGCAGAGGTAAAAAAAGAGCCAGAATCTGCAAAGGTCATGTCTTTAAGTTTGGAGATTCAAGCAGAAGCTGAAGAAAATGCGGGGAAAGTTTCAGATACAGCATTGTTTGCTTCTGGATCTCACATTCTTCCTTCTGAGGAGGATCAGGGTAAGGTCTCTTGTGAAGTAGCTGATATTACTGCTTCTAAACTGGAGATTAATACTCCACAAGGAAACACCACATTAGTTATTGACACACACTCTGCAAAGAGTGCTGCTGTTCAAGAAAACACAAAACCTTTTACCAATAAACAAACTACCGCAGTTGGTTTGCAGGCTGATAAAACAGGGACACACGTTCAAACAAAGGTCCCAAAAAACATTATTTGTGCAGAACAAGAAGCAAAGCAAAAACCACATTCAGCAACAACCGATCCCAGCAAAGAGACCACTGCAGATGTAAAGAAAGAACCAGAATATATGACCTTGGCTCCCAAAGATTGCACTGAGCAGGGTCCTGCCAAAGTTGTGTCTTTGAGTTTGGAGACTCAAACAGAAGCTGATGGGGATGACGGGGAAGTTGTCGTTACAGCATCCATTATTTCTGTACCTCACATGCATGGGTCTGAGGAGGGTCAGGGTAATGTCTCTGTTGAGATAATCCTGATCGAGGACATGGATGTAGAAACAATAGAAAATGATAAGGAAGAAGCAGTAAAAGTAGAAGGTACATTCTCCAATGCCGAAAGAAGAAAAGTAATGGAAGAAGCAGATACACAGTCCAGTAATGCAACTGCTTCATCTGGTGGCCAAGACATCAATTACAACCTTGAAAGTAAATCTCCAAGTAGAGAGATTTTGAAGGACCTTGAATTAGAAGGGAACTTTTTTGTGGGTTTCCATGATACCCTTGAGGAACAAATGGACCCTACTGAGTCGGACAACGAGATCATTAATTTAACAGACCAAGGAGCAGTGTTGAGTATCACAAAGTCAAGAAAGTCGATTTTAAGTCAAACAGATTCTGGCGTGGCTTTGTGTTTATCTGACCATGAGGAGATGAGTCCAACAAAGCCATTTGCATGCTTGAGTCCAGAAACATGTTTAAGCCCAGATGAGGCAGAGGTGTTAATGAGCATGACAGATCAAGTATTTTGCCCAGTTGATCCAGAAGGGGATGTTAAAAGTCCTGATTCTCTTATGAGTACAAATGATCCAGACATATGTTTGAGTCCAGTTGAGGTTGAGGTGTGTCTGAGTCCAAATGGTGAAGAAGAAGACGAAGAAATCTGTCTGAATCTAACTGAGGCGATTGCACATGTGAGACCAGTCGAGAAATACGTTCTGTCGTCAAAAGAGGAAGAACAGTCTCTGTCCTTTAGGAGCGATCAAACTTTGCCAGGAGAGGACAGAAATAGGAAAGTCAGCGTTATAGGCAGAGATGGGGACAGTTTGTGTTTTGGATCGTTTCGAAACAGTCTTGGAGGCATGGAGTTTGGAGGTCCAGGTGGTCCTAGTATCATAGCAGACCAAGAGGAACAGCTTGGTTTTGGAGGCCTTTATCGTAAAAGTGTAAGAGATGTGAGAAATCCCATGGAGAGTTTCAAAGATAACAAAGATGTTCAGAATATAAAGGAAGGAGGCATGTGTTGCTCAGTAGGCCAGAAAGAGATTGCCAGTATGGATGGTAAAGTGAGGGGACAGAAAAACAATGATTGGCTGGTTGCCAAGGAGACAAGTAACAGTGAAAAAGTGTTTGTAAGGTCAGCTAGCTTTGGAAGTCTCCCTGCCAATGAAGGAACTACCTTTAGTGATTTGGCGAGTAATTCAGGAGGTAGTATTATGGCTAGTAGTTTTGTTGGCACAGCTGCAAATTCATCAGGTAGGGTCAGTGGTAATGCAGAAGCTGTCATTACAACTGGAGTAGAGGGAACTTTCAGGCAGGGAGGTGGAGACTGGAGGGTTTATGGCGGAAGTCTGGGATGCACAAGTACAACTTTACCCAGTACAGGGAGTGAAGAAAGCCTGTCAAGCCGAACAGAAAAAGGGAGGTTCGGCAGTAAAGGAACTGGGGAGTGGGCATTTTATGGTGGCAGTCTTGGACGAAAGAGCAGCCTTGATGGTGGCACTTGCTTACCAAGTGAAAGAAAAGAAGAAGGCCCATCAGTTGCCTCAAACCCTGCAACAAGTGCACCAGAAAAAAGAAGATTCGGCAATAGAGGGAATGGAGAATGGATGGTTTATGGAGGTAGTCTTGGACATGAAAGCAGCTTGCCCAGAACAGGGAGTGAAGAAAGTCCGTCTGTGGGAATGATCCCTGCAACAAGTCCACCAGACAGAGGAAGGTTTGGAAGTGGAGGGAGTGGAGAGTGGATGGTTTCCAGCGGCAGTCTAAAATGCAGTGATATTGTACCCATTCCACAGAGCAGGGACAGCCAGTCAACTGCCATGCACCTTCCAACAAGTCCTACAGGAACAGGGGGATTTGGTCTCAGAGGGAGTGGCGAGTGGAGAGTCTATGGTCCGAGTTCTGGACGTATGAGCAGCAATACCTTACCCAATGCAGACAGCGTAGAAAGACCTTTTATGGCAGTGCAACAAGCAACAAGCCCACAGAGAGTGCAGAGGTTTGGCAGTGGAGATAGTGGAGAGTGGAGAGTTTATGGTGGGAGTAGTGGACGTTTGAGTAGTGCCAGTAATGCAGACAGGGTCAGTGTCAATGCAAATTTTGGCAAAGTCATCAGTCCACCAAGTAGCTACACAAGTACTGGACGAAGGCTCAGCAGTACTGGTAGTGGTGGCAGGCTCAGCTCGGGTAGTGTTGTTAGGCGCAGTAGCAGTGTAGGTAGTGGTGGTAGTTTAAGTCGCTCAGGAAGTGGAAGCAAACTCAGCAGCTCGCCCGGGAGCCACAGGATCAGCAGTTCTGGGAGATTCGCCAGCACTGGCAGCGGCGACTCAACGCCAGTTTACAGCTCAGCCTACGAACGGAGGAGCACAGTGGGGATTGCAGGGCGATCAGGTGGAGGGGGGACAACCAACAGCCAACGAGCCCCTAGCCCCGGGTGGCTGAGCAGTTCACCAGCTGGCGGGAGAGGCATGGGAAGCCCTGGGACCGTGTCTAAAAACAGCAGTGGAGGTAGCAGCGACCGAATTAGCAGCCGAGCCGATGTAAGGATAAGCAGCTCCCCTGGGTCAGGGGGTACTAAATGCACAGGGGGGAGGGTAATCAGCAGCAGCAACCGGCAAATCAGGAGCACTGGCAGTGGAGCCGGAGGCAACAAGGAGAGAATCAGTGTGTGTAAGATGGCGGCTCTGTCAATCTCTGCAGCAGGAAGGGAGAGAAGTCAGGAAATACAAAGAAAAGCTCAACAAAAACAACAACAACAGGCTTCAGGTGAGGGACTAGTTTGACTTCAAGTAAACCAATATTAGTAAATGTGACCGTTGCCGGGAGAAATACTATAAAGATTCTAGTTACTAAAAAACTGATTATAAAATAAACATTGTTGTAAGCCAGTATAATCAATTAAGAATAATCTTTCTCTTGCAGTTACCTCTCCCCTCGTGCAGCGCTGGCTGACCACAGGTGTCAGGGTTACAGATGGCAAAGCTGACGACATCTTGTGAATGGACCACTAAAGCAGGGGTGGGGAACCTTTTTCCTCTCAAGGGCCATTTCAATTTTTTCAACATCCTCCGAGAGCCATACAAATTATTGACCTCTGCTTAAAAATACTAAAATCACAGCCCATTCATTTGGCCTTTCTTTCATGCTGTGCAAAGAAAAAGCAACCTCTTAATCCAGATATCTTACCATGACTCGCGTATGCGTTTACTTTATTCTCTTATTTTTTTATAACTATAATGATCATATAAAGATGTGCCTTTACCTCACTGGTTGTAGAAAAAGTTTCTTATATTCGTTAGCATGCTAGCTAACCAGATGCTAATAACAACAAAGTTATTGACTGTATGATCAGTATGACAGATGAGAAGATCGCCACTGGGCTTTCAACTAAGACACAGCCACACAAAAACTGCGGCATGTGTACGGCTCCTTATGGGTACTGCAATTTCTGAACTGCCGGAGCGGCGTTCCAATGCTCTCCGGCAGAACTACACCCCTGTCAGACGAGACATATACCACGTGATGACACGTTAGGCTCGTGTTGTGTTCAAGGACCATGTGGCCAGGAAAAACAGGCACTCGCTTGTTTAATTCTTTTGCGGTCCAGATTTCTTTAATTTTTTTTCTTTTTTGCGTGTGTTTATAAATGACCTCAAGGGCCATACCAAATGGTCTCGCGGTCCGTATACGGCCCGGAGGCCGGAGGTTCCCCACCCCTGCACTAAAGAGAAGCAGTGTGACATCATGTACAGTTATATATGGTAGTTATGATGTGGTATTATGTGGTATATTAGTTCAGTGGTTCACAAGATACATTGGAGGAAATGTACTTTTCTCCAAGCTTATCTGCTTTAGTGAAATATTTAGTATTTTCTGCCCCTGTTTGTGCCCGAAACTCTTTTGATTATCTTAATTTGAAAAATGTACATCTTAATATGTGTAATAACTCAACATAAAATGGAAATATTTAGTAATTCACAAGTATCTCTAAATTGGACGGAAATCTTTCAACTAATTCCACCACTGAATAATACTGTCTTACATTTCCACATAGGAGTAGTTTCAAATCTGGAGCGGGTTTAATCAAACTTAATAAAGATTATATTAGAATAACAACCATTGTGTAGTTTAAAGTTGTATTGATTTTTTTTAAGCGACTTTAAGAGACTTTTAATCATAATCATCACTTTCTCTATTCTATATTTTTACGTTTTCAATTGTGTGGTGTTTCACAGATATTAAATGGGGTTTATATCAGTTTCTGAGTCTTTGTGTTGCATTCATCTTCACAATATAATTCATATTCAGCCTCACTTGTCATGTTGATTCTTACTTTTTTTAAAAGATTTTATCTGGTCATGTTTCTTCTCATGCTTTTGTTCTATCTTTCAAACATCGTATCTAAATTGTACATTTTAATCTGAAAATAAAGAAGATAAATTACCAGACTCGTGTTCTCCTGCTCAGATAAAGGGTAAAGAAATCAACTCATAGATATCACGATGAAACTTCCCCAGTTGATTACTTACATTTAGAGAATCAGTTTTCAAAAATATATGTTTTGAATATGCAAATGAGGAATTATCTTATTTAAAGTCTGCTTATTGGCATACATTTCCAGAGCAGAAATGTGAACATTAGATAAAGACATATTGAAAATTAATATTAATAAACATTTTACTGAGGCAATTTTGGTTATCCCTTTTGTATAATTTCATAAATCAGGAAGCACTGTCAAAAGACATCAGTAAAAAGTAAATTCAGAGCACAATGCGTTGTTAGCTAGCACAGATGGAGTACATTATAATACCACCACAACAACAACAACAACAAAAACACATTTTACTTCAAAATGTAAAAGAAAATATCAATAGGTATATCAATCTATAAAACTTGCATATCATAAATTGTTTAGAGTTAAACGGTTAAAATTGATAATAATTAAGTGTGGCAGAAGAGACTCAGTACATTAGAAATATATTAATCCTGTGATGGAAACTTCTGAAGCAATGGAGACAGGACTCATAGAGACACAGGGAGAGCAGGAACTTTGATGGCAAACACTGATGGTGTATTTGGAGCTTCGGCCGGAGAATTCACAAGACATGTCATGTGCCACGAGTTGACACAGCGGATGCCAAACCAATTCTGAAGATTTCTAATAGAATAATCAACATGCTGCATAACAAGATAAAACAGGCAAAGCACTATAACACCTCTATCAGCTGACGCCAACAGGCAGGAACAGAGAGACAAAACACTGAGAGCACAGCACCCAAGGCTACAGGTGCCTGAGCTCAGTGAGGTCAGTACAAACTGATAAACAGGGTCAAAGTTAAGGGCCTAGGAAAATATGTCCCCAACATATGCCAGTAGGAAAACACACTGCTCCTCAAAGTATTGTACCAAAATATTTACAGTAAAATGTACAAAGCTTCTTCCTGAAGCTTGCTGATGAAGAGCAATGATCTTTAAAGTGGACCTATCATGCTATATTTGAAAAATATATTGTAGGGCCATACCTATATAAACATGTGAAGTTTTTTTTCAAAATACCAAACAGATCACCCATTGTAGCCATGCCTCATACTGCTCAAACCCCCTCTTTTGCAGCCCTGTTAGAAAATGCGGATGTTGGGTCCTTAGCTTGAAAAAAAGAAAAGAAGAGGAGGCGGAGCTAATGCCTGATCAGAATTCTACTGGAGATAAAGTTAAATTCTGCTGTGATAAAACGCCCATCCTGTTTAACCACGTCAAGGATTATTTCTGAAATAATATGAGCCTCAAATGCTTTTTCTCTTGCAGGTTTATCACAAGGTGAGTTCTTTTGTTATTTCCTGCTTTTAAACACATGTGCTCTACAGTACAGGTTAGCTCTGAGTGTTAGCGAGGCTTGCTAATGTAAACAAAGACGAGATTACGTCCAAAACACGTCAGGCATTGTTTCTGATAGCAACTTTCTGTGGGTCCGCCGACGTCACAGCGGATGGACACGTCAGATCGGATGGAAATCTGTATCCGCTCGTTGTACACCCGTTTTTAAAAGATTTGGGTACGGAGGAAAAGAGAGAGGGTTTTATTTTCTGACGCTGCGTGAGTTCCCCGACGCACCGGGGACACATATTTGTGTATAAAAGACATCACAAAGTGCATTTTGCATGATAGGTCCCCTTTAACTTCTACAGCAGCAGAGCCAAAGACAGACCGACTTTTCCCTATTCATGAATTTCCCAATACTTGGTTTTATTTTTTTGATGCATCAATTTATTAAACAAAATGCCTTGTATTCGAAAACTGTGTAAAGAAGGAATGGTGTACATTTTTTTGTATTTACGCTTTAGATATTGAAGTACTTAAATTAAAAGAATCCACCACATGCACGTGATTGTTCAACACTATTTGTTGAAAAGGTTTTAGCTTTTCAATTTAATTTAATTGAGCTGCTTTAGTTAGACTTTTTTAATGCATGCTAAAACATTTCTTACAGATTTCACAAACAGAAAAAAATATGCAAGTTTCAAAACAAATGTTCTCATGTCTTTAACTGCTATTCAAGGTGAGACCTGAATAATTGAAAAAGACAGGTAGAAAACGGAGTAGGTTTAATGCTAATATAAGCTATCAACTGAAAATGTTTCAATTTTTCCCCCTTAATCTTTAAAAGAAACAACACAAGAATACAGCAGAGTGCAGTGTTGCGCAGGTTTTACAGCAATGTTTGTTGGGACTAAATAATCAGCAGGAAAGCACAAAGAAATATTTAGTCCCAGACATGTAGCATTTTCAAAAAGACAAACTGTGCCCACACTGCAACACACAGCTATAACGGCCCGTCCACACGGCAGCGTCGCGTGCTTCAACGGAGACGCTTCCCATTCATTTTGAATGGGGTGACGTCACGCTTTGCCGAACTGCATTGTGGTTCCATTGCGTCGCTTTGCCTCCGTTGCTCGCTTCGAAAGTTGAGAAAAGTTCAACTTTTCAAGCGTCGACGGAAGCACCAGCCAATCAAATCATATGCCAGTACAAGCTCTAGCCAATCAAACCGCGTGCTTGTGTGTCCGGGGCGGGAGATCAATGTGATTGGTTGTTGGTCGCACGCCAGACACGCCCACCGGCAAGCTTCAACGCACGCTGCCGTGTGGACGTACCGTAACATTACACTCACAACATAAACAGTTAATTAAAGGATTTCTATTTCCACTGGATGGCGCTCTGAGGCTCACCTTTTGAGAATAAGTGGCTTAAAACAAGGAAACCTAAAATACATTTATCAGGGGTGTCAGACTATTTCTGCTGGGCCACATCGGCAATATAAACTTAACACAAAAAGTAAGGCAATTGTGTTGGTACTTTGGATCTTATACTGTTGGAAAGCCTGTTTATTTACCTTTCAAATGGTGCCACATTTGGAACATGCATTTGTGTCTGTTGACTCTTGTTTGTGTCAGGGTGGGGAAAATAGGACCCAAGTGCAGTTAAAAAAAATACAAAAAGGTTTGTTAACAAAGCAAGCTTA